GGAAGGCGTATTACAAACCTGAGATATGCATATGACACAATCTTGCTTGCTGAAAGTGCGGAATATTTGAAGCACATTCTGACGTCGACCAAGGATTGCAGCCTTCAATATGGATTACAATTCCATGCCCATATCCAGAATCCTAAGTGAACCATTAGGTAACATCATGATGAAGAGAAAAAGTTGGTGTTGTCAGGGATTTCATCTTGCTTGGATTCACAATCAGTACTTATGGAAGCAGCAGTCAAGGGATCAAACAATGCAGTGTCGTCAGTAAATCTGCTGTAAATTCAATTAAAAGTATTGAAACACAATGCTACTTTGAGGACTAAGGTGCACCTGATCCAAGCCATGGTATTTTTCCATTGCCTCATGTGCGTGTGAAAGTTGGGCACTGAATAAGGAAGAATCAGTAAGTTCAAATTATGGTGCTGACCAAGAATATTGAAAGCACCAGGGACTACCAAAAGGACAAACAAATCTGTCTTGGAAGAACAGCTAGAATGCTCCTTAGAAGTAAGAATGGCTACCGTGGAACACTGGGACATTGAATCTTGGATCTTCAAGGTGCACAGTATTCTCCAGAGTCTGCATCAGTGAGATCCAGTAGGAAAACTCCACTGAGTGAACTAGACTCTACTTCACGCACATTTGTAACCTGAGAACTTAAGTTGGAAAATACATGGTCTTGCTACATCAATGCTTTATTAGCATATGAATTATTCTGGCAAGCCTGTGACTGACATTCTCAGTGATTATTATTGTAAAATTTCCCTGACAATTAACTCCCATTGTTTGTATAAATAGCATCCAGCCACAAAAGGATTGATTTTGTACTTGTGAATAATTCAGGTGCTGTGATAAGAAGGAGTTAGCCTACATTGGCCCAGTATCCCTCTCAACAGGGCTTCAAAAAACTAGTACTAGGGGCTAATCAAAGACAATATTAATGGAAGAATGTTATGCCCCAGAGGGATGATTGATAAGACTATCATAAATTAACAAGGTTTTGAAAGGGAGCCAAAGGCAGATAAAATAAGCATAAATCAAAGGGAACACAAAAATTGGGTGCTATAGCCAAATGTGAAGAAATTAGATGGTGCCCAGCTGTCAGATAAAATAGTGTCTGGGTTCTTAAAGGCTTGTCTTCAAGCAAGCATACATCTAAGTGAGGTATCAAATAAGTCTACATGGATGGACAGCATCATTAGTCACCGAAGAATTGTAAATCATATCATCTGAAGCCGAAGGAGGGATTAGTATCAGAGCCTAAATTGTCAGAATGTTTTGCAGAAGGCTGTGGATGACAGTGGGAGCCCAAGATAAAATTTTGGGAACTACATAGGAAATAAGCCTCCAGTGGTCTCCTTCTATCCATATTGAGGGATGGGAAGAAGGAGGTTACTAAACAGAGTGCATGGGAAAGATGAATATAGGTCAAAGGGATAAACCTGACTTGAACAGTTAAAACCTTATCAATTGATTTCCCCCCTCCCTCAGATGCATGCTGGACCTGATCTCGTTTTCAACATTTGTTTGTTTTTCCATTATTAGGGTTGGACTCAAATGTGTTGTCATTGGGGTCACCCTCTTGAATTTGTTATATGTTTTTCTGTTCTTTGGTATATGAGACCCAGGACTGATGAACCTATAGGGACAGCAAGTAGACTGAGGGTTTGGATGGGGTGGGTGGGGTACAGTTAGGGGTGGGGAGGGGGGTAAAAGGGAGACAATGTCAAGGAATCCAGGAAGGAAAAGAATGTTTGGAAACTGACTGTGGTAACAATTGTACAAACTGCTTGATGTGATTGAACTATGGAATGATCTATGTATCAACCCCCAATAAAAAATAAATTTTAAAAAGAAAAAAATGTTAGAAAGAGCTGAAAAAAAAAGTAAGAATAGCAAGATGTCTCACATACTTTGGACGTTACCAAGACCAGTTCCTGGAAAAGGACATCACACTTTGTAGAGTGATAGTGAAAAAGAAGCCCCTCGACAAGGTGAACCGACAGTGTCTGCAGCAGTGTGCTCAAACATAAATAACACTTGTGAGAATGGTGCACCTAAGAGTTTTCATATGGGTCTGAACGGACTCAATGGCACTTAATAACAGGAGTGCAAAGGAACAGGGGAGGGGGAAATCATGGGTTAGAGGTTCAGCATGTGTTAAGTTACCTCGGGAGAAAGAGAAGACAGTATGAAGTAAAGGGAAGGTTGGCAAAATGAAGGAGATAGAGGACGACACAGGGAGGTTGCAAAAGCTTATGACAAGACACCCAAATACTGTCATATATATAATTCTGAAATAGTGGTGATCTACAAATAGATGCTTGCTGGGATAGGCACACAGGCTAACAAGTATGGGAGGGAGAGTGGAAATATAGCCACAAATATATGTAAGTTTCACACAGGTCATTTGTATATGTGTATTTACTTTTTCTTCAACTATATCTACGAAGGTGGTAGAACATACAGGAAGCAACATTATGAAAACGTCTTAGACATCATCAAACACCTTGAGTAAATGAGTAGCTGGGCCTGAGGGATCAGAATCAGTTTCCAGTAGGGTGGCATTAGGGACACCAAGGTCAATTGGCATGTTTCACAAAGACAATGTTTTACATTCTGGATTGGTAAGTAGAGTCTGGGATCTGAAGAGCTCAAGAGCAGCTAAGGTGAAACTATTGGTCTCTTCCCATCAAGAGGACAGAAGAGGGATGAAAATCTAAAGATCCATGGAAATCGAAGGGTATACTGGATTACTTGACTATGCAAACATCACTCAGTCCCTGGCTACCATTATCAACTGTTCTAAAAAGGATCACATTAAAAGGTCCTAGACAGAATGGGAGCAAAATATGGAACAGAATGCAAATTCATAAAAGCAACCAGGCTCACTATAGGATGCAGACTGGTGGAACCACAAGACTGTGATACGTAACCACCCTTTAGATCTGGATCTGAACTCACCCCCGTTTTCAAACAAGTAACTACTTAAGATAAAAAGGGCAGCATTACCCAAGGACAAAGGAGAAAGGGTAAGGAAAAGAGGAAGAATAGAAACAGGAAAGACAGAGGGGGGGGAGCAAGTAGAATGAGTGATGGTACATTGAAGGGCCTGGAATAGAGAAGCTGAAACAAAATGTATACAAGTTATTGAATGTAGACTGATCTGCTCTGTAAACCTCTATTTTCATATTTTTAAAAGATGAATTGGTAATTAGTTATATATGATTGTGCAACAACTGAAATAAAAAGGGGCTACAAATACTGATACTACTTTTGATATGACCTCATGGAATTCGTTTTCTTGGCTTTAAGACTTAGGGTCATAGTCCGATGTCACAATTTTATCAATTGAGAGATTATAGTTAAATTTATGTTCTACCTCCTAGATTGGTGAGTTGTATCGGGTCTGAAACATTTATGAGTGACCACCTAAAAGGTGAGCGTAAGTCTTTGTCTGGAGCAGAAAACCCTTCAAGAATCAGAGAAGAAAGCTGACTACAGCAATAACTGTCTTCATCAACCACAATGCCTTTTACCTTGAGATAAAAAAAACCAGATGGTACCAGTCTGACTACCAAACCTGATAGATGGATCCTGGTACAAAGGAAAATGTGGGATAAAACTTCAAATTCTCACAGGATCTAAGCTTAATAAACCTATTGAGCCTGGAAGAATTCCCTAGGCAAGGGCTGGCAACCTCAAGAGAGAAGAGCCAATCCTGTATCATCTCATAACAACTTAAAAATCATTCAAGAGCCATAAATATATTTTTATAAACAAATTTAATCACCATTTTCTGAATACCCAATTTTTTTCAATTTACTTCAGAGCCACATACATGTTCCGAAAGAGCCACATATGACTCCCAAGCTGCAGTTTGAGGACCCCTGCCTTAGACTATTGCCCTGAGATACGCTAAACCAGTGGTTCTCAACCTTCCTAATGCGTGACCCTTTCAAACCGTTCCTCATGTTGTGGTGACCACCCAACCATAAAATTATTTTAGTTGTTACTGCATAACTGTAATTTTGCTACTGTTATGAATCGGGTGACCCGTGAAAGGGTCGTTCAACACCCCCAAAGGGGTCACGACCTATAGGTTGCTAACCAATGCTCTAAACCTTAAAGCAAAACTATCCCCTGAAATCATCTTTAAAACCAGATTTTTAGTTCAAAAAGTAAAGAATGCTCACTACCATCAAGTCACTGCTAACTCATGACCCTATAGGGCAGGGTAGAACTGTCCCTGTTGAGGACTACACCCTTTAAAAAATAATATAGCCAAAGAAACTAGTTTCTGGGACAAATAGTCTACATGAAGCCCAGAAGAACTAGATGGTGCTGAGCTACAGACCAATCTAATCAGGGCCACAACCAAGGGACCCTGATAGCATGGAGAAACATGTGGGACAGAATCTCACATTCAAAAAAAAAGTTTAATTGGGGGAAAACAACCCCACCAGACCCACTGGTTGACACTGGAAACTCTGAGACTACTGCCCTAAACTACTCTTCAAACTGTGAACGAGCCTACCCCACGGTTCACCTCGTAGCTAAATAGTAAACGGGCTCAAAAAATAATAAACGTTAGCTAGTAAGTACTACGCTCTTTTTAAAAAAGGATTATGAAAGTCAAAGTCACTTGAAAACAAAGGTGAGAATATATGGGACCTGGGAAACTAGATTAATGGCAATGCCACAACCAGTACAGCAATAATGAAAACGCCATGCAATGTAAAAAATGTAACAAGTATCGCTGAACAAAATGTTCGAATGGGAACCTAACCTGTTGTGTAAAGCTTAACTAAAAATACAATACTTTAAAAAATATTTATATGAGGTCAAATAGAGAACACTTACTCTAAAGCATAGATGAGAAATTTGGGGGATGGTGAAGCTAAATTCACAATCGAACTAAAATGAGAATGTTGACACACTGTGAAGAATGTAAGCAGTGCTACTGAACATCATGCACAAAAATTATTGAATGAGAACAGGGTTTGCTGTGTTTAATTTCACCAAAAATACAGTATTTTCTAAAATGTTCATTTTGTATTTAATATACAAATGTACACTCTTGTCCATAGCACATAAAAGTGAAGTCACTTGACCAAGCTTTATATTTATGATCGTTTAACCTGGATACATACAAAGATACAGGTATTGAAAAGTTCTCTCTTGCTTCTCTTAATGTAAGCTGGATTGTAATCACTAGTCTGCTGGGTTTACGATGCTGCTGTTCTTCCATAGAATGTTTCTCAAATCTCATACCAGCTATACCCAAGGAAGAAAAAGCAGTAGTCAGCCAAAGGGCTGGAGCTTCTAAGTAAGGACTTACAATCCCTATGCCATGTATAATTACGAGGGATCTTTCACCATAGCAAACAGTGAAAAGAACTTTAAAACAGGCATGGTATTTTATATAAGACATGGCTGAAGCCAACACATACCTAAAAAAACCCCCAAAAAACCTGAAGCATCAAATAATCTTAATTTTTCCAAGTCAAACACAGGTACAGACAATTTTAAGAAATAAAGAAAATGTATTTACAAAGTGTTTTACTTGACCAGTTGTAAGAGCTAACAATCAACTGAGGTAACACTAACAGAGAGACTTCCACTAGTAAAGTCATACTACTAGAAATACAAGACAGTGTATACAAGAGTCACTTCTGATTCTCCGCCTAGAAAAATGTCCTTCAGTATGTTCTCCAATTGCACAAGAACATACATTTAACCAAAAGAATCTGTGCAAATGGTACTGCGGGGCTTGTAGGCTCAGTTGAGCCAAGGCTTCCACAGTGTTGTTCCATGCCTATCTATCTTACATAGCGATTATATCACCTTTGTGAGTTTCTTCATCAGCTCTTCACTCTTTTTCTTTGTCAGCTCTCCCGTTTTCTCCTTCTTTGCTCTCTTCAGTCTTGCTTTCTTTCAGGCCTCCTTTGTCAGCTCTTTTCTCTCCTTCTTTGTCCTGCATGCTGCTATAAACTGCTTTGTTATGGCCTTCCCGGTTCCTAGCAATTTCAATGGCAAAAAATTGTATTCTGGGGGCTAGAAAGCAAATAGAATTGATTAGCATACCAATCCCGGTTACATCCCTAAACTTGCTGGAAATCTATAGACAAAGCAGTCTATCCGTCTATTGACAAGCCTAATGTAAAGCATTCAAGTATAGTCCTAAATTTCAGATATTTGACAACTGGTGTATGGCTTGTTATAAGAGCTGCTAAGAGCCCCCAATAAAATGATTTATGGGGAAACAGAAGTTTCAGAGACCTGGAATTCTAATTCTATAGTAAATAAAGTCGAAAACAAGCAATAACCCAGTTATTTAAGAAAGAATAAAGACATAACAAATAAGATGATCCCCAAACTAACTGTCCATGTCACTGATTGATCAATAAGAACAGATTCCTTTTCCTTATACATAAATATTCCAGAGGCAAGGAACTCACCAAAGATGGTATTTTCCTCAGTGTAGCCCTGAGAACAATCTAGTCGCAGCAAAGTGCCATAGTTGAAGTCTTCTATAATCCCATCAAACTTCAAGCAGAATGGCCTCCACTTCTGTAAATGTACAAACAATTCCTTAGCTAATATATCTACGAGGCTAATGTAGTCAGACCAGTAAAAGTGCTTCCATTTGAAGAGACTAGGATTGGAGTTGATTGCTAATTTTTATGAGAATAAAGCTAGTAGAATACAAACACTATTTTAACCTGACAAAACCTAAATCTTTAATTACAAAATTAAAATTTGAATTCTTAAATAAATTATATGCTTTGTTTTTAAAGTATTGACTACTCAGCCCCAAATGGTTGTTCATCCCCATTGAAGAACAAATGAGAAAAAAGAAGCCAAGAATTTGGCCCAATGGAAGAAGCAAACCAGCTTGTGCGATCACAGGGTGTCGAAGGGATCAGGTATCAGGTATCATCAAAACAAAAAAAATCTTACCATAGTGAATGAGGGGGGGGAGTGCGGAGTGGAGACCCAAAGTCCATTTGTAGGCCACTGGACATCCCCTTACAGAAGGGTTTCGGGGAGGAGACAAGCCAGTCAGGGTGCGATGTAGCAATGATGAAAAATACAACTTTCCTCTAGTTCCTAAATGCTTCCTCCCCCTCCCCCCACTATCATGATCCGAATTCTACCTTCCAAGTCTGGCTAGACCAGAGGATGTACACTGGTACAGACAGGAACTGGAAACACAGGGAATCCAGGGCGGATGATCCCTTCAGGACCCGTGGTGTGAGTGGTGATACTGGGAGCATAGAGGGAGTGTGGGTTGGAAAGGGGGAACCGATTACAAGGATCACATGTGACCTCCTCCCTGGGGGACGGACAACAGAAAAGTGGGTGAAGGGAGATGTTGGACAGGGCAAGATATGACAAAATAATGATTTATAAATTATTAAGGGTTCAGGAGAGAGGGGGGAGCGGGGAGGGAGGGGAGAAAAAGAGGATTTGATGCCAGGGGCTTAAGTGGAGAGGAAATGTTTTGAGAATGATGAGGGCAATGAATGTACAAATGTGCTTTACACAATTTATGTATGTATGGATTGTGATAAGACTTGTATGAGCCCCTAATAAAACGATTCAAGAGAAAAAAAAAAGAATTTGGCCCAAAGCCACAAAGTTGCATTTTAAGGAAGAAGTTCAGTATACCAACATTTACTGCAATTTTGTTCACGACAGCCAGGTAGAAACCACCCAAATGCCAACAATAAATGGATAGACAAAATGTGGTGTATGCATAGAAGGGCGTATTACTCAACCACACAGAGAAATGAAGTCCTGATACATGCTATAACAGGAATAGAGCCTGAAAAATTATGCTATGTGAAATAAACCAGTCACAAAAGGACAAATATTATAAGATCCAACTTATATAAAACAGTCAAATGAGCTTCTGTTAATGCTGGTGGAATAATGTGGAAATAAGACTGTGATAATGACTGCATAATATGAACGTATCCTAATGTCACTGAATTGTACATATGAAAATGTGGAATTGGTAAATGTGTTAGTACATATATTTTAACACAATAAAAAAGGAAGGATGGAAACCATTCAGTAATGACATCTGCCCAAAGACCAGCACCAGCGTATTGTCATTGCGAGGTGCTGTGGCTCAGACTCATAGGGACCCTATGAATGTAAAACAGAACAAAATGTTGTCTGGTCCTGCACCATCTCCACTATAATAGGTATATTTGAGCCCACTGTTGCAGCAACTATCTGTGAAACAAACAAAAACCCTCACAGCTATTGAGTCAATTCCCCAGAGCAGCCCTATAGGAGTTAGTCTCGTAACATGCCAAAGGCCTATTCTCAAGTAAAAATTTTCCCCCAAGTGAAACAGTGTGTGTCCTGTAGAAATGCAAGATAATCAAGTAAGCAATTACCTGTAGCCGGTGGTAACATGAAGTTAAACCCAGAGAATCAAAACATCTCCCCATTACTCCCCCATCTAAGCTTCTGGCTAATGTACTCACATGAAGAAACTGAAAGAGCCAGATGAGTGGGAATGAAATGGCCCAGTGGAGAAAGAAAAAAAAACAAAAAAAACCCCCATAAACCAGACAAACACTGCTTTTATAATTTAGTCATTCTAAGTACTTTCCTTAAAACAAACAAAACAAAGTTTAAATGTATAAATATACTCACAAATAACAATTGCGGTTGATCAAGTATTAGAGAATATTTAAGGGAGAGAATTCTTACCTCTTTCGCGGATTCAGATTTGAGCTCTTCTGGGTCCAATACATCTACTCTGAGTTTCTCAAAATGTTTCCGGAACTCAGAGTAGATTTGGTCATCCACTCTAGTGAGTTTCAGGAACTGTGGGTCAACTGATGAAATCAGCTACAAGACAATACACAGATGCTAGCCTGTCATTTGCTATACTTCCATCCTGGGCCCCAGAAAGCTCTCAAGGCAGAAGATTGCATTAGGATGTACACAACTTAGGTCCTGACAGCGTTAAAGGGTCAGTCTCTTCCACCAATACTAATGTATTTGAACCGAGAATTAATTGGCCATTGCCCTCTGTGGATTCTTCATTCATTCAACAAGCATTTAGTATCCACTTTGGGCCACTGCTGGGTAAGCATTGGCCTGCTCATTGCAAGATCAGTGGTTCAAGCCCAAAAGCCGTTCAGAAAGGGAAAGAGAAGGGTCTCTGCTCCTGTCAAGATTTACAACCTCAAAAATCCTAGACAGGGTCCCTGGGGAGTTGGAATTGATTTAACAGCAGTGGGTATGGCCCATTAGTCACAGAAAACGGGGCAGAGTAGAAAGCCTCATTATAAAACAAATTTGCTTCCATGCGGTGTGGGTAAGATTTTACAGCAACACAAATTATCTTGAAAACCCAAATGTTTAACTTGCTGAGAACAGTGACTAGTAGATTCCCATACACTATTATTATGTGTGTAATTCTGTGTAATAATAATGAAGACAGACAACTCACCTTGTAGTAGACTTCAGCATGTTGCATTGCTCTCATGGCCCATGCCATCTCAATATCAGGCTGCAAAGAAGGAATGAGTGCCCCATCAGAATTCCCCCATTCCTGCTTTTGGATAAGGAGCCCCGGTGGTGCTATGGGTTAGAA